CTAACTGTCCATAATTCACTTCCGTATATCAAGATATAAGTCTATGGAGCAAGGAGATAAAAATTAAAATGTTGAGAGATAAGCATCTTCCCCGTGGCTACATACGGATGTGAGTCGTGGACTATCTCTCAGTCCTTAAGAAAAAGAATTGGGGCTTTTGAGTTGAAATGCTATACACAGATTCTCAGAATATCTTGGACAAAGAAGATGAGAAATATTGACATCTTAAAAGATCTGAACATCAAGGAAGATTGGCTAATAAACACCATCCTTTCTCGAAAGCTGAAATATTTTGGTCATATCAAGCGCCACGACGGATTGGAAAAAATAATAGCAGAAGGCATGGTACCAGGAAGGAGGGGCAGGGGCCGACCGACACGAAGATGGGCATAGGATATAAGTGACTCCTTGAGTGTGAAAGTGCATGCGGCGGGAGAATTGGCGAGAGACCGAGTTTCTTTCAGGCAGACTGTGATGAGAGCGACGTTCTGCAAAGGACCTGCTACATGAATGAATGAATGAATGAATGAATGAATGAATATCAAGATATAACATATACAGCTCTTAAGAATTCTATTTCTTGTCTCAATTGACCACACACACACACACACACACACAAAATTGCATAAACTATTTCAATTTGTAAAACGTTGCATCGATTGTTATACAGACATGACTTTTCTGTGCAAACACTATTTGCCAAATATACGAAATTCTGCAGCCAGTTGAATACACATATGACTCAATAAGCACAGTCTTTCCACTCACTTGATTGCTGTAATCATCCAAGCGTGTCACCCCCATTTCTTAAAGCCATTATGAAACTAAGCACAACTAAGCCTTAAATGTAAAAGAGACCAGATCACGTGTGGCTGATCAAAGAGAACAGTCATAGTCGGAATTTACTGTATAATCCTTCCCTATAGCTGTCAGGTTTTGAAAGAGGCGGGAGTCCTAAGACAACTTATCACAGACATCAGAAAAAGACAGTCATCATTTTTCGGCCATGTTATGAGAAGAGGGAAAATAAAACATGGTGTGACCACTGGAAAGAGGGATTGAGGAAGACAACAAAAGAAGATTCTTAACAGTCTTGTTGCATGGCATAGAGGTATGTCGGCACACGAACTGATATATGCTGCAGGAGATCGTGGATTATGGAGAGGCGTGATCGCCCACGCCAGTCGGCAAGTCACCTGATGATGATAGCTGTCTAGAGCCATCTATTTCCAGCATGTTTTCAACTGTCATAAGCTTGAGTTAGATTATCTTCACAGCACTCCGGACACATCCATGGGCGCTCAGATTCCCCTCTCAACATATGCATCAGCGTCGCGCGGTTAATAGTGCCAGTCCTATGTTGGTTAACAAGACTTCGTGTGCGTCCGGTGTGCTTCTCATGCTTGGCAATGACAATGTCTGCGTGATCCATGGGCCGGCCATCTTCAATTAATGCCATTCTATCAGCTCTCTCATAACCAACAACACATGCATGCCCTGTGACGAATATGAAGGTAACTGCACACACAGAAGAGTTTTGCAACGACTCAAACCACTGTCTGCGTAACCAGCCTGCCTCGACCCGACGGATTGTCATAAGCTTATTGCAGTGTATCATATATTCGTGGGGAAAGAAAGGGGGGGGGGGGGGAGCTATAGAGTTTTCTTGCTGTGTAGTAAATGTTCAATATCATACATCTGACATACAGAACATGTTTATTCTGCTGTTTCCAAATAAGCTACTCTCTCTCCAAGCTGCAGTCTTAAGTTGAGTCAAGAATTGACATCACAGCACTCGGGCCATTCCCATGTGTGCTCCGTCCTCATCTTCAGCAGCCAGCGCAGAGTTCCAATACTGATGTCTGCTTGTTCATTCATTACCCGCCACGCCGGCATTGCCTGGAGAAGAGATCCAAAGTATGCTCTCTACCCGTGACCTTCCCAGCAAAGCTTGCCACTCTGCTCAAAGCATCCCTGTCTTCACCTTTCTCAGCATGTTTTCAGAGTCTTTTGCAATTACGACAGGTGTATGCATCTTGTTCTCTAGCCACCGGAGAGCTGCAATTTTAGTATTTTACTCGTACAAGGACATTTTAGTTAACTTGTTATTTGACAGTGGACTGCAGCTCTAAACAATTTGAAGGCATGCCTTCCCTTTTAGCTTTAATACCACATCCTTCAACATTCTGCTTGTTTTTGCTTTTTTTAAATTACTGATTTAAAAATCATCCATACTTATAGCTCCATGTATTTATTATTATCTTTATAATTATTATATTTTCTAATAGTAAATTTATTTGTCTTCGGAAAGATAATTCATTCAATAAAACGTATTACAAATTAATTAAACTGTAGTTTAATTTGTGTATAAATTTACTGGATAAACATTGAGAACAGAGACCAGCCTCTGGGTCTTTCACAAAACGGGAATTTCCGTTGACTTATAAATACAGTATGTGGTGAGAACAGTTCAGTTGTGGCCATAAGGGCTGAAAAGGGTTTCTGGGACCTCTCCACTGGTGATCCGCATGGTGGCACTTTGTGTCACCTGGTGTTTATTGCTTGTGGGATATCCTGGTGGGGTACAACAAGCAAGAACGGTCCACCCTCGCTGCCCGTGGCAACTCGAGCGTACTGATTATGTACTTTCTTCTTCTCAAAGCCTATGTTGTGTGGCGTCGGAAGTCATGTCTATCCACAACCTTCTGTCTCGTGTACTTTCAATCAACTCTGACACAGATGATCTTCCATAGTCCATGCCGTATGGCGTTGGTAGTCATGTCTATCCACAACCTTCTCTCTTGTGTACTTTCAATCAACTCTGACACAGATGATCTTCCATAGTCCATGCCGTATGGCGTTGGTAGTCATGTCTATCCACAACCTTCTCTCTTGTGTACTTTCAATCAACTCTGACACAGATGATCTTCCATAGTCCATGCCGTATGGCGTTGGTAGTCATGTCTATCCACAACCTTCTGTCTCGTGTACTTTCAATCAACTCTGACACAGATGATCTTCCATGCCATGATGTCTGACTGTCCAGCATCTCTTGTCTCGGTCTCCCTCTGCCTCTCCTCCAACTTTCCTACTGTCACGATGTACTCTAGTTTTCTCCTTTTCATCACATGACCAAAGAATGTAGATTGTCTCTTTCTGATGTGGGCAATCATGTCAAATAGGACAAAGTTTTTATTTTAAGTACCGGGGATTCAAGGAATTACTGTCTATTACCAAAAACAAATCTTTAAGTGAAATACACGGGTGCGGTCTTCATACTCTATTGCTGAACCAAACCCATCATTGTTTGGCTGTTGTGGTTTTTCTAGGCAAACTTGACGTTCAGTAGTTTGCCACTGCTCCTGAACAGTTAGCTCACTGTCAAAACCTATGCACACAAAATCGTTTGCAGCTGGGATCGAACTCGGCACCCCGGCATTACAAAGCTCGCTTGCAACACCTAAGCCACAGACACCGACACGAATCTTCAAACATGTACACAAAAATGAAGAATATATAATGCTCGAACAGTTTAATAAAGCTTCCGACAATAAACAAATAACATTTTTTAAATAATTCAATGCCCCCATGTTGGATCTGAAGTCCCCCTGGAAAGGGAGGGTGGAAGGTGGAGAGAGAGAGAAGACTAGACTTACGCCCCCCCCCCCCCCCCCACAAGCATGACCTAAAATGACTGATCAGAGGACTCTTCAAATCGGGCGCGTTGGGCTAAAGAGTGCAGACATTCACCACCTAGCTGTACACCACAAACAATAGCGTACCCTATGCCTTTTAAAGTATTAACACAGAAATAGAAATATTTCTTCTTCTTCCTAGCATTCACTTTGTAAACTGCGGTTAAAAGTTGTGGTTGTTTGTCCACTTCTGGTCCAACGACAGATCTGGCTTACTTGCAGACTGTTGGTTCTTCTCCTCTAAGGCAGAAATATTCCTAATTAGTTACCTCTAATGATATGCTTTTTAGGGAGACACTGGGTCTATTCTCCCCAAAATAGGACCAAGGAACCCAAACGCGAAGAAATATTTCAACAGAAATCAACAGATTGCCCATCCTTTACAGAATGTGCTGTCTCCACAGCACGCCTGAAAGTCTCTCATTCCCCAACTTCGTACGCCTTCGTAGCCAATGGATCTTTAACATCCTGTATTCACCTTCACTCTCATTAAACACTGGAAAACGAGTACTGAAATGTTCAATCAAGCCCGTTCTGTCGTATGGCAGCGAATCTTGGAATGTGAGCAAACAAATTAAGAAGAGTTTGGAGGCAACTGAGATGTGGTTCTTGAGAAGAATGTTGCGAATACATTGGACTGCCAGAATAACCAACATTAAATGTCTGAAAATGGCTAATGAAAGTAGAGCATTATATAAAACACTCGGAAGGAGACAAAGTTCTTTGGTCATGTGATGAGAAAAGGAGCACTGAAAAATATCGTGACGACTGGAAAGATCACTGGTGGAAGAGGCAGAGGAAGACCAAGAGAATTGATGGTGGATAGCTTAAGACAGTGGCATGAAGGAATATTGTCAGTAGAATTGATCCAGAACACCAAAGACCTGTGGAGATGTCTGAATGCCTACACCAACTGGCAAGGCACTTGTTGATGATGATGATCCACCATTAACGGTGGCTGGCCTCTGTCTCATGTCTGGAAACTGCAGACTCCACCACCGTTCTCTCCAGACTACCACGGTGCTTGATGTGGCCAAAGTACCCCAGCTTTCAAAACAGGATGCTGTTTACAAGCCAGTTCTCTTTGATGTTTCAGGTCATGCAGGATGTTGATGTTCCCTCCTCTTCTTGGCCCACGGTATTCTATGAATGTTTCTGTAGTATTTCAGTTCAAAATCTCAAATGTTCCTCTTCAAAGACTGAGTGAGAGTTAATGACCGAGATCAATAAGTTGCCAGGGGAAAGATCATGATCTCCATATTTTTAATTCAACCTTCTTGCAGGTGCTGTTAACGGAAATAGTTACTATTTTTTCTGCTTCTTCTTTTTCTTCTTCTTCTTGCTGGGATTGGAAACCATTGTCTGTATATTCGATTCTGTGTAAGCAAAGGAAATGTAACTCTGTTCACCCTGCAGCTTGCGTTTGACGGCTTTCCTGGCATCCTTGCTGGGCTCGACAAGTGACAGAAAGTCGATCCCTTTATATTTAGTGTCTGCCGTTGATGCACGCAGCTCATGAGCACCCAGAGTTGCATTATCTTCGTTGATGTTAACCAACTGATTATCGTTGTTTGGTCTTTTTTGTTGGGAACTTTTTTTAGTTCCTTGAGAAACAGGATTTCCAGACCTGCAAAGGGAAAAGAATGGCGTTTCATTCTGATCCTGAGTCAGCTCTTTCACTTTCACAATCTTATCTTCTTTGCTGGAAGTCGTTAGTTTAGCTTTATTTTCATGTTTTTGTTGAACAGGTTCAACAGGACTGCTTGGAGAAACAGGATTTCCAGACAAGTTAAAGAAGGGTGTTTCAGTCTGCAGTTGAGATGAAGCTTTCATTCTCTCAATCTCATCTTCTAAAGAAGCCCCTGACTTATCTTCTTTATCCTGTTGTTTTTGTTGAACAGGCTCAATAGAACTGCTTTGGGAAGTAGTTTTATTGGACTTGCACAAGAAAAATAACGGTGTTTCAAACTCTTGAGGTGTATCGTTTACAGTCCCATCTTCTTTGTTAGAAATTAGTTTATCTACGTCATCCATTAGTTTATGTTGAGTAGATTCAACAGCACTGCCAGGAGGAACTGAATTCCCAGACCTGCAGATTGTAAAAAGAGGCACCTCAGCTGACATTTCCTTTGATGAAGTTTTAATCCTGGTATCTATGTCCAGACTTTCCGCCTCACGGAATAAATTTTGACTGCTTGACGTTCCAGCTTCTGTGAACGGAATAAAATTATCCTTTCGTTGCTCAGACAAATCTGGCTGCTTGCTAACTGTACTGGAATTGAGAGATACCGTTTTTGGCTTGCTAGAAGCCAAACTGGCAGTTTTATCGGCTTGAGCTGGCGTTAACTTCTGTTTTTTAGACAAATGTCCCTTCTGTTTTCCTGAAGAACTGGAGCTCTGAACTCTCGACTCGCTAGATGTTGTTGAAAGAGAAATATAATCTGCAGAAAACGGATCATTTCCCAAACTTGAAGTAAAAGCTTTCAGCTCATTCTTGGCGTCTGCAAGTTCTTTGGATTCCGCCTTCATAACATATAAATATGAATAATCTTCTATTTCCGCATCTTCATCACTGACTTCATTGTTCGCAGAGATTACTGCACTTTCCTTGCCAGGCACCCTTTTCTGGTCACTTGTAAATTCTATGTTCTGACTAGCCTGTAAATCGGCTGTTTCAGTATCCATACTGATAGCCACTACTTCCTCTTCGGGGCAAAGTTCGTGAGGTTTTCTAGAAGGTTCAGATTTTGTTGTAGAAAAACTCCCTGTAGATTCTTGACGCTCTGGCAACTGTTGCTCATTTGTATTTGTTACTGCTTGCAAACATTTGTCAATGATTGGCTTGAAATGTTTCTGTTCGTCTTGAAAGGAAGACAGTTTCTGGCAGAAGACATAATAAAGAAACAAATATTAGCCATGAGCTAAACAGAAAATATGAAACAATTACATATTAAATGCAAAACTTCTTCTGTTTCCTCTTTTGCATTCATCCAAAGTTGTGAAATTGTTATGCCTGTTTACGACATGATTGCAATTTTTGCACCTTTCAGCCGATACATCCAACTTCTGCGGGCATTTGTTGCCCGGGTTAGACATCCCGGTTAGATGTGAGGGCTACCACAGTTTCACTGTGTGGTTATCTTCGTTTTCTATCAAATGCAAATGAAATGGCAACAATGGTATCTCCTTCTTTCCCTTATCATTTACCGGCTGTAAACTCAGGCAAACATTTCTGGTTGTTCGCTTACTTCTGGACTTTGGTCTTGTTTCAGAACTTTTGTTTTGAGTGCACATCCATTTTATAGATCTGGCTTAAATGTGTGCAGACTGTTGGTTTCTCACCTATCAGGCAAATGCACTTCGACTTTGAAGCAAACACCCCTAATTAGGCAGTGGCTCTATTCCTGTTTTCATCAAAATAGGGCCCCGTAACCCACACTCTAACTGGACGAGTTTTCGGTTCTATCCTAATATCTCCCCCCAAACAGACAGTCAAATATTTTAAGGGTGGTAGATAGGCTGCATGCAGTCGTGGGACCTAGGCTGCACTCTCTCCTGGGACAGAGGTGGGTTGGGGTTAGGCCCAGTTCTAGATGTGTTGGGACAGTAAAAGCATCAGAAAGCCAGGAAACTCACTCTCACTACCCCCAAAAATATTGGACTGTCTTGTGACTTCATCCCGGGGGGGGGGGGGGGGGGGGGGGGATATCGGGAAAGCACTGAGTTTTCTTAATGTGAGCGGGTCTTGCTAGTCACACTCACCATCACCATGGGCTGTGAGTGAGTTCTGCATCTCCCTACAGCACAATATTACACTAACATACGGAAAGACAAAAGAGTGCCCACAAAATGCAAGTGAAAATTGACACCTGTTCTAACGGCTTTATTACAAAAGCATGAAAGAAACACATTCTTGGTCTGCAAACTTCGCCAGAAAGTTCTAGTTTGTCATCCATTTCTGGTCTTTGGTCTTGTTCCAAAACTTGAGTTTTTTCCTGCATATCTGTGTTACAGATCTGGCATATCTGTGTTACAGATCTGGCATATCTGTGTTACAGATCTGGCATATCTGTGTTACAGATCTGGCATATCTGTGTTACAGATCTGGCTTATCTGTGTTACAGATCTGGCTTATCTGTGTTACAGATCAGGCTTATCTGTGTTACAGATCTGGCTTATCTGTGTTACAGATCTGGCTTATCTGTGTTACAGATTTGGCTTATCTGTGTTACAGATCTGGCTAATCTGTGTTACAGATCTGGCTTATCTGTGTTACAGATATGGCTTACCTGTGTTATAGATCTGGTTTATCTGTGTTATAGATCTGGCTTATCTGTGTTACAGATCTGGCGTATCTGTGTTATATTACAATATCAATATCCTGGCATTAACACACAAAAATGTGTTTGTGCAGGTGCAGACAGAACCAGTAGAATTTAACTACACTATCTCCCCGTGTGGGTTCCTGGGCCCCCCTGGGGTACAACAAGAATAGATCCACTACTTCCCCAAGAAACACGTTGTAAGAGTCGACTAATGGGGCGAGTGTTCCTTCAAAGTCGGGGTGCATCTGTGATTAGTGATTAGAAAGGATTATCATCACAGCACTCTGGACAGACCCATAGGTGCTCCTATCTTCTCCTCAAAAGCTCCACAAGTGTAAAACGACTGATGACGCCTGTTCTGTGTTGGTTAATGAAACATCTTGTCCCCTTAGTGAAATGTTCATTTCTTGCAGCTCCAGGCTGCACCCCCGTGTCCATCAGTCTAGACAGGGATATGAAGTTATGTCTTTTGGCGTGCTCCTCGGTACGGTAACTGTAGTGCATGACATTGATAACATCACTTCTGTCCAGTACTGGGCCAGCCATAGCAACTGCAGTGTCAGCAAGACAGTCTGCACGCTCGTTCCCTTGAACACCGGCATGACCTTGCACAAAGATGAAGGCTAGGGGTGCATCTGTCTGAGAGACAAAGAACCAACAATCTGCCTACACTGAAGTCAGATCTGTAAAATGGATGTGCATGCAAAACTCTGGTTCTGGAACAAGACTAAAGACCAGAGACGGACGAACACCCAGAACTTTCTGCGGGGTTTTCAACCTGTGAATGCGAACAAGCAGAACTAGACTATTTCTAGAACAGATCCCAGCAGAAAGGGCCACGAACTGACTTCATAGGGTCATTGCCCTAACTGGAAGTGACTAAATTTAGACTTCTCAGAGTGATAAGGTTACCAAACATAACTACCTTCAAGGCAAGCACAGAGAAGGTGGCTCCGAACAGCGCCTTCAAGGCATCCACGAGTCCCGGCAGCACAACCACTGGACACTTCTTCACAGCAGCCACCGACAACAGCGAGACAGGTTTGGTGTCCGCCAGCAACACCGGTGTGACCTGCTCCGATACAAGGACGACCTCATACTTTCCTCGCTCCAAGAAGGCAGCGACTGTGCGTTTGCCGATATCAAACTGCTGACTGTAATAAATATTAACAACAGTTTTTTTTTAGAAAGATCAGCAACTTCTGCCCGTTTTGTCCACTCTCTCTATCCCACTTTTATTCGTTATCTTCCCTTCATCTACGGCCTCTTCCCACCTCCCTTCCTCCTTGTGCTTCTCTTTACCCCCCCCCCCCCCACCACTTTCCTCACCTTTCTCCTTCAACCTCGCCTCACCTCTGTCCCATTTTCTTCTTCTGCCTCTTCTCACATACTTCCCACTTTCTCCTTGTCTTTCCCAACCTCCCTTCTGTCTCTCTACTTCCTCCGTCATTCTACCTCTACTCCCCAGTTTCTCATTCTTTCTTCTGTTTGTGTGTGAATAATATGTGTGTTTCTAAAAAGTCAGAGTGCATCTGCTGAGAAACCAACAGTCTGCACACAAATAAGCTGGACATGTAAAATAAATGTGCAAACAAAAAAACAAAAACACAATCTGCAACAAGACTAGAGGTCCAGAAGTGGACGAACAACCAGAACTTTCCTCTAGAGTTTAAGGCCGGTGAACGCAAAGAAGAAGAACTCTGTACGCTTTTATCCCTGAAGTGAAAACCAACCCTCGGTATTGAAACATGCTTGTCTGATCATGCAACTAAAGATCCCTACAAAACAGAAAGCAAATACTTACATGAAAGCTCTTTCAAACAGATCTTTTAACTTCTGTTTCTTTCTCCTTTTCTTCTTTTTCGAATCATGCTTTTCTTTATCCGTGTTGTCTTTCAATTTTAGGCCTTGATAAAGAGTTCTGAAAATATTTTTTTTAAAATTAAAATGAAGCGAAATTATAGTGGAAAAATACACTGAGTGTACCCAGTTTCCTAATGTGAAAAGTACATGACCCTTTTTCATTCCGTCAGGCGTTTGGGCATATAGGGCTTGACTAATATTTTATTGAGCAATCGGTACCTAATAGGTGATGTAGTCAACTTCACGCTAGTCGCCTTTACTTCCCAGGATCTGGTACCCACTCAAGGCTGGGTCGACCTGAGAGTCAAGGTCATTTTTGAAAAAAGTCTTGCTCCGCCAGGACCCGAACCCAAGACCTTCTGATCTGCAGGCGAGCGTCTAACTGCTACGCCACGGCGGCTCCCAGTTGACTTATGAGACAACAAAAAACTTGACCCCCATTCCGCTGTGGTGGAAGTGGTTCCCGTTAACAACCCAATCACCCACCGTCCCCTACAGTACCGTACTGGCCTTACGGCTGTGACCAGAGTCAGAACCAACAGACTCCCTTAAAGCTCTTTCTGACGCTACTGCACCTTACACTCGGACCGCGATGCTACTGCACGTTTTTTGTTAGTGTGAGTGGACAGACCATGTCCCGTAACCAGATCCACCCTTCAAGGACTGCCTCGCTAACGTCTAAGGAAATACATAAATGAGTACTGGGCTATCCTCCGAATAACGGGCACAAAAGATGGCGGCCGCAAAAACACCCTAACAGAGCCTCAGTCACGTATCAATTGCGCACTTCCGGTGACTTAATTTGCGGTTTTCCGGTGACTACCGCCACCACCGAGCGTAAACCTCTAAAACCGACACTTCCAGTCAGGTCCAATAACTCGTAAATGTAACTTTTCCAACTTGTGTACAATGACCTGTTTATGACATACACTGTTAATGCCGTTGGTGGTGTTTGTGCCTGCACACATTTAAGAGGCCAGAATATGACAACACTAACTAGCATTTGGGTGGTGGGGGAAAGTGGATCCTTTGAACCAAATAGCTTTTCTAAAGCCGAGATTAGATGACATTTTCCTGTAAGCCTCAGTGATAGATGTCTTGGGGTTAAAGAATGAGTCACAGATATACATGTTTGTTTAAGGCTCCATGTTATGTATTCCATTTAATTCGTCACCCTGTTTGTGATTCTTGATTACTTCACTCATATATCTTTGTATATTCAACACACAAAAATTTGATAAACAAAATTTGTTATGAATTTATCAGTGACCTGTGTAAAATATTATTTATTTAAAGATATTTTTACATAATTTCTACGGGACCATGACATTTTTTTAAGCCTCGATGTGAAAGGTGAACTCCTTCAGAACTAAAGGACAGTTAAATCAGTTATAAATAAATCAGACATAAATCAATGCATGGTGTTTTTCTTGGCATCAAAACAGTGAAGAAACAAAACCGAAGGCCTTTAAGAGAATTAATGACCAATAAAGTTATGCCAACAATTTTTTGAATGCTAAATTAATAATCATAACAAAAAAGCACTTGGGACATTACCATAAGTGCTCCGTCGCCATCTTTAGCAGTAAGCACAGAGTTGCAATTCCAGTGGTACCAGTCTGACTGTATATCTGTCTCACCTTTCCCCTGAGTGTTGATCGTCGGCCAAATCTTCTGGTCACTCCTCACTATACTATTCTCCTCAGACGTTGATGTTTGTGCCTCCCCACTGTTCACCCGCTCCCCAGAACCCTTACAAAATCTAGCTAGCTGTGCCTCAATTTACCACCAAGTGGAGCAGAACTGGCCAGTCTATCATTTCCTAACACACCGGCATGACCTGGAGATAATATCCAAAGGACGCTAAATACCCGGGACCTCTGAAGCAATGCTTTCCCTCTTCACGGAGCATACCTGTCTCCACCTTTCTCAACATGCTCTGTGAATCTGCATATGTAAAAACGTTTTCAGACCAACACCATTAATGAAAATAATTATTTAAAAAAAAAAAGGAAGACGCAAAAGCACCAGTTAACTCACTTCTTCAAAAGTTCAAGGATATCTTTTCCTGCTTCTGCATTAATTTGCAACGGTCTGTGGAGGACATGAAAACAAACAGTTTGTCTATTGTGAAACAATGCTTCCTGTTTTACATTTCTTCTTCATCATGTTCATCAACTTCAAAGGAAACCTAATTTGTTGCCTTTTGCAACATGCTCATTAGGGCAAAAGTGCAGGGGTGTGGTTCTACCCCTGTCCCCAAATGGGACCCAGAACCCACATAGGGATGTTGTAGTTTTGAACAGAGAGGACACACACAAGAGATTTCACATTATACTGCACATCTTATTTTGCTGTATCTCGTCAGGTGCATCAAAGAAGCAGTTACTTTTTAGTCTAGGTGATTTCACATTTGAGTTACAAGGATTCACTTATTTCTTCTCATCTTGATTTTCTGGTACCTATCAAAGTTGAGGTGAAGTATAATTTACGGGAAAGTGCCCGTTTGTGTCCTTCGTAAAAGAAGATTTCCAGGGATTCTTAACTCCCTCTGTCCATCGCTTGCATGGTCTGCCTCTTCTTCACTTCCCGTCTGGTCTGTACATCCTTGCTTGCTGTGGTATTCTGTCTGCTGACATTCGTGTTATCTGGGCAACCCATTTCACTTATTGTCCCCTAAAAAAATCTAAAACTGTCACTACCTCATTCCCATTCGGATTTCATCATCATTCATTTATTTGCTCATATTCAACTGTTACTGTAATGTTAAAGTTAGTTGCAGTTAAAGAATATTGCAGAACCAATCACATCATTTTTTGGCAGTCTATGGTTTTACTAGACACTTTTATTTTTAGTAGTTTGCCACTGCTTTTTGAATGGTCAGCTCTTTATACCACTGCAAGGCGGTCTACTGCACCGTCACCCACAGGTGAGATCTAACCCGGCACCCCAGAATTAGGAACCACATTCACAATGCCTAACTCACAGACACATACTGTAGTGGGTACCTGGCTAAAAACAGCAAAATATACTATGTAAAAATTGTGCAGTCTCCTTTTTGCATTTCTTTGAGCAAATAATTTTGCCTCTGTGTTTTCTTGGCATCTCTAGTATCAAAGGAGATAAACAGGCAGACATTTTGGCTGGTTCTACAAATAACCGATGTTTGTAGTGTAGGAATAAACAAGCAGACATTCTGGCTAATTCTACAACCGGTCAGTGTCTGCCGTGGAGGAAAATGGAATACTCAGACCTACAAACACTTGATATCACTAACTGGAAAGAGAAAGCCAGAGATGAATGGAGGCAGATGATATCTGCAGTAATGAGTTTCAAGGGCTTGGAAAGCTGAGGAAGAAGAAGAAGGAGAATAAGATACAATTCACTAAAATAAAGCAAATCAATGTATCCTTTCAAACGAACTACACAATCAGCTACAAGTACATATTTGTTAAAATTTACAAAAGGGAATCACCACTCTGTTACCTGTTTTTGTTAGTTTTTCCCAACTGAGTGCTGCCTTGGCCTGCCACAGGTTGAGCAGCAGACAAGTTCACTATTTTCTGGGGTGCACAAGTGGTCGTGTTTGACTGAACAAGGGAGATCACTTCTGCAAATTCTGAGTGAGAGTTGTCTATCTTCTGCAAATGAAAAGTAATAAGTAAAGTAAAGTAAAGATCCCTTTTCACGCCTTTCGGCGCATCGGGCATATGGGCAGAGCGTCCCATATTTTTACAGACCATGAGCACTCTGTGGGTAATGTGGTCAGCATTACGCCGGCTGTCTTTACTTTCCCAGGACAGCCCATCCTGGTACCCATTTTAGGCTGGGTCGACCTGCGACGCCCCATACAACGATAAAAATCCACGCAGCCTGCAGTGGGTTTCGATCGCGGTATGCTGGCTCACGAGTCGGACTCGCAACGCCTTAGCCACGGACGCCGCTAAATGGAAAGTATGGTAGTAAAAACCAAAACTGAACAGTTTCATGTTCTAGTGTTGTCTGCATTCACCAGCTGTAAACCCGGGCGGAAAGACCTGGATCTTCATCCATTTATGGATTTTGGTTTTGTTCCAGGACCTGAGTTTTGATGAAAGCCAGCTCCTACGACATGCTTGTTGGGGCGGTAGTGGGCCTATTTTTGTCTTCCCCACACTGGGGTCCCATGGGTGATCATATTATTGTGATGAAACTTAATGGAAAGAAAACCAGTACAATTATTAATGAGCCGGTACTTTATTCAAAATGTCGCTCTTGTCTCAACATGCCTGCAAGTCTCCCTTTCTCTAGCCAAATCTCCAGCCCTATGTACTTTTATAGCCCATACATCTTACACTTCTTTACTCACCTTTGCAGAGGTCAGCCTCTGCCTCATTTTCCGAAAAACTCCCTCTCCATAACTGCTCTCCCCTGGCCACCAGGACGTTTAATATAGCTAAAAATTTTCAGGGCAGGATGCTGTTTATGAGCCAATTCTCCCTGATACTCAGATCATCTAGGGTGTCAGTGCATTAAGTATATCAATACTGAAGAATCAGATCCAGCATTTTTAGCTGTTGTGGTTTTCTGAGCAAATTTACGTCCAGTAGTTTGGGACCCCATAACTAAACAGAGATAGGGACATAAAACTCCTCTGCTGCTACAAAGATCTGATTCATGATAATTCCTGCCCAGATGATGTGATTATCTGTATGTTGAATTAAGAATTGATATCATAGCACTCGGGACACTCCCATAAGCGCTCTGTCCCCATCTTCAGCAGCAAGTGAAGAGTTCCAGTTCCAATGACACCAGTAATTGTCTGTATATCAGCCTCGCCTTTCCCTTGAGTTTCGGACGTCAGCCAGATCCCCTGGTAACTACTCACAGCGCCATTCTCCTCAGACCGTAATGATCTATTTGCAGTTTCGTCGCCCAGCTTTTGAGTTGAGTGCATGGCGTGACACTGTGAGCTGCGTTTGTTTTTCGTTGGCACAGAAGCAGAGCATCTGTGGGGTGACCCGTTTGCTATGAAGCTGAAACTAGGATTACCAGATTGCCAGATCTATTTGCATCTCCTCACTGTTCACTTACTTCCAAAGGGGCCTCACAACATCCAGCTCGTCACACATCAATTCACCAGCAAGTGGTGCAGAACCCGCCAGTGATTATCTATACATATGGCCCTGTGTTGAGAGGCAGAAGAAGTACAAGGGGGTTCATAGCAAGAGCGAATGGACATCGCCTAGTGCAACAAAGCCGGGCATATGATATCACAATGTCTAGTCTGAGAATGGAGGTGGAGGCAGTCAATTTTTCACTCACTCGAGATCCAGCAGCACATACATGTTGTGAATGTAACTGACTCAAACAGCATACTGAGAAAAGTGGAGACAGGTATACTCTGTGGCAAGCTTCAGATGTCCCAGGTAATAAACATCGTTTAGATATTTTCTCAAGGTCATGAAGGAGTGTTGAGAAATGAACAGGTAGACAGACCTGCTGGTTCTGCACCACCTGGTGGTAAACTGATGCATGAAAAGCTACATGCAGTAAGGTCCCTTTGGAAGCGAGTAAACAGTGCAGAGGTCAGCACAAATAGATCATCACTAAGAAGGCAAGAATGGTACAGCAAGAAGTGACCAGGGGATCTGGTCGACACTCATCACTCAGGGAAAAGGCAATACCCTGCTACTGGCGCCATCAGAATTGGAATTCTGCTTGGCTGCTGAAGATGGGGACGGAGCACTTACTGGATTGTCCCAGTTCTTAAGTGAAATACCCTCATCTTCTTAACTTCCACAAAATGGAGAAGACACAGAAAGACTCACAGGCAAAAATATCGTCAACACTGTACAGACTAGGCTAGTGGATAACGATGAATCTCTGACACTCAACACGATTGCGTGACATGGGAGTAAAGCATGGTGAAGCACGTCTAAGCCACCTTCGAGGCCAAGATAGGAGACACTATAACCCACTTCTCATGGGAACAATTAGTAGAAGTACCTTGAAGTGACTGCTGCATCGGAGGACTGAGCACGCATGGGAATGCCCAATGTGCCGTGATGTTGATTGTGATAACATAACATAACATAACATAACATAACATAACATAACATAACATAACATAACATAACATAACATAACATAACATAACATAACATAACATAACATAACATAACATAACAGACTCACCTTAAAGCCAAGGGCTAGAGGAAGACACTTTGACTGTGTAGCCTTGGCAACCGTCGGCGCCAGCTGGTCCAGACAGAGCAAGGGGCAGCCTTGGTCCTGCGCCAGGGAGATGATGTGGTCAACTGTTATAGCCGGTGTTGCTTGACCGGAGATTAACACACATGCCAGTTCATCCCTCTCCAATGCCCTAAACACGCCAGATGTGCCGACCTCTAACTGTGACCTGTTAAAATTCATGACAAAATGTAATAATTATAGCGATCTTAAAATCTCAAGTATTTTTTTGGGGGGGGGGGGGGGGATGTCTATACCCTAACAGTAGAATGCACCCGGCCTCCAGGCAATGGGTACCAGAGTTAACACTCTGGGGTAAATGGAGGAGCATCGCTGTAGCTACGGAGTTACGTGGGGACGGCGACACAGGCGGACAGTTTCTTATCAGCTGTCTGTACTGGTGGCAGACCACTTATGGTTTATAACTGTGTGCAATGACGCTGGTTCATATCTCCCGACTTTACCTTTTGGTTACAGAATATAAATCATCTGGCCACTTCCATGACACATTTATTCCTGTGAAATTAATGTGCTTAATTAAATTAAGGCTCTATATTGATTATTTCCCATCTTGCCTAGAGCATCCAGTGCCAAATCTGTTACTGAAAGAGTGAAGCCCAAATTTTTGACGTGTCCGTTCCCTGTGTGGGTTCGGGGGCCCCATCGTGGGGAAAACAAGAATAGACCCACTGCCTCCCTAAAAGCATGTCGTAAGAGTCGACTAATTGGGGAGCTTCCTTTGAAGTTGGAGTGCATCTGCTGGAGAGGCAAGGAACCAACAGTCTGTATTCAAGAGAATGAGATCTGTAAAACTGATGCACACGCAACACTCAGGTTCTGGAGCAGGACTGCAGTTCAGTAGTGGACGAGCAACCAGAACCTTCCGCCAGAATTTACAGCTGGTGAACGTGAAGAAGAAGAAGAAGACGTGTCTGTGATCACTTGGGATTCGCAATGATTGCTGTCTGAGACTGGATATCAGTCAGTGATTCAAATTCATCGCAAACAAGTCACCTGAGAGGCGAGGAATCGACGGGCAGCACACAAAAAAATCATATCTGTAAAATGGATGTGCGGGTAAAATGTAAGTTCTTGAACACGACTGAAGTCCAGAAGTAGATGAACAATCAAGACTTTCTGATAAAGTTTACAGCCAGTAAACACTAAGTAAAAAAAAGTACAACCATCTACTTTCAGGCTGGCAAGTGAACATGGCTCCCACATCAACAAAAGGACAGAGCAAACAAACATACAGCGACAGACAAGATCAAGTAAACATAGAAGGATGAAGAGAGTGAAAGAATAACAGAAACACACACCTGATTCTGGCTTTCTCAGACTTATCATCCACTGCAGACTTTTTAACATGCTTGACAATGTTCACACCACCTGTTAACTTCCTGAAAGTAAACAGACATTATTCTTGTGTAGCTTTTGCCTCCTTAGCTTTTTAGACTTTAATGAAAAATATCTTATGCAATAAATTGCTCTCATTTAATGTCAGAAAGAGGGTGCTAAATGTTACATAGAACCTGTTCTGCTGTGTGGCAGCAAATCTTGGAATGTCACTGAATAAATTAAGAAGAATTTGGAAGCAACAGAGAAGTGGTTTTTAAGACGAATGTTACAAATACCTTGGAGGGCCAGAGAAATTAACAATGACTGCTTGTAAGAGGCTTATGAAAGTAGATCTCTATATACAACAATAAGAAAGGAACAAACACTGTTCTTTGGCCATATAATGAGAAGAGAGACATTGGAGAACATCGTGACAACTGGAAAGATCAGTGGAAAGAGGGGTAGAGGCAGACCAGGAGAGATGATGCTGGATGGGCTGAAACGATGGCATGGAGGGATATCATCAAGAGAGCTGTTCTAGTCAACCAGGGATTGTGATCTGTGGAGGCGCATGAGTGCCTACGTCAGTTAGCAGGGCACATGATGATAAGCTTTTGCTGTTTCAGTGAAACAAGAGGTAAGCAAATGTGGCTGCTGCCAGAATAGACAAGCATTAGAAAAAAATAGTATAAGTAGAAAGTCTTTGCTATGGAATACAGGTAAAAAAAAACTATAAAATTTTTTTTAAAAAAAATTATTAAGTGGCTGTAAATTAAAACTTTAAAAGCATGATACTGAATTACGAATCGACATCATAACACACCGTGCATACCCAGAGGTGCTCCATCTCCCAGAGCAAATGTCTTAAGATGTAGATGTTAACTATTCCCGTAGCACACTGATTATAAAAACATCATTCTCTTCCTCTCATACGATCCTCCTTGCCAGATCCAGACCTAACTCCTCGGTCACTCATCCTTAAGCTATTCGTTACACAATGGTCTTCAGATTGACTCCTTTGTCCAGTGTGAGTGTTCCTGCAGCTATCCCTTTACTAGCCAGAAAATCTGCTCTTTCATTTCCTCGCACTCCTGCACATCCTGGACAGTATATCCACGTGATTCCCTGCAATGTTGGCGTACTGATTCATGGTATCCACTCATGTCCATTTTGAACCTTCCGCAGTGCCGACTGAGAATCAGACACTATAATTTCTCGGGAAACTCTGTTTTCTGCTAATTCAGAGCTACGGTGATTGCCTTCACTTCTACCCTAGTGCTTGACGTTGCAGTTTGCATTTTATCACAATCTGTTCCACATGATATTTGTATGACAGACTGTAATCAAATGTCAAAAGCAAGTATTCTAACCTTACCCTTCTTTGGACATTTATACCCTTTAAGGATATGCTAGGCATGTGTTGTTTAAAGAGCCCCATAAAACACTGGCTTTCTCACCGTTTGCCCTTGACAGAAAAGTGTGACAGAAATTACAACATCTTGCTGTTGTTTTGTTACCTAGTAATAACGTAACCCAATCCAAGATGAATGGTCATTCATACATTTAAGCAATAATGTAGATAAAGATAGGGGAAGTGATAGATGATTAATTTTGATCCTGACTCTCCGATATGCTGCCATTAAATCTTAACATACGTATACACACACACACAAAACTTACTCTGTCAGTTTCATAAGAATAGAACCTTCCACTTCCTTCGTAACTCTCGGCCTGGCAAAGGAAAAGAAATTTGTTAAAGTGAACTGTTGCTGCATTCGTTAGTCTACATCTTTTTGCCTTGCTCTGAAAAGTATCACCACTATTTAGCTGAATCTGCAATTTGTCTTCCGCTATGAAGGTTGTGGGTTCATTTCACGGAAGTATCATTTAGTTCACAGCATCAATTTTTATGAAGATCCCTGTAGTACTACAGCTACCTAGTTCGTGCTTTGTGAAACGCTCTTGGCATGCAGCTAACTGTTCTGCACAGAGAGAGAGAGAGAGAGAGAGAGAGAGAGAGAGGGTAGAGAGAGAGAGGGTAGAGAGAGAGAGGGTAGAGAGAGAGAGGGTAGCGAGAGAGAGAGAGAGAGAGAGAGAGAGAGAGAGAGAGAGAGAGAGAGAGAGAGAGAGAGAGAGAGAGAAAGAGATCCATGTGGAGTCATGTGGAATAAAACCTGGTGCAATGAAGTCGATACTCTTGACTTTTTAAACTTTTAATTCAGCTATATCTGAATATACTTTAGCATGGCTATCAATTAAGTTTACCAGGGGCTTAAAGGATCGCCCTGAGCCCCAGCATAACTGCCTTTATTTTACCACTTTTGCGGGGTAAGCACGGGGGTCTTTGAACCTGAGGATTTATGGCTGCATGACTATTGCTGTCGCCACGACTGTCCAGGTCAGGATTTTATTTAGCCCCTGAAAAAAAAATCCTGCAGCCTTATCAAGGATTCGAGCCAGGGTCTTCCGCCTAAGAGCGCAGCATTCTAACTGTTTGGTCAGAATAGAAATACCAATAATACTGGCAATGGTGCCTGGAGCCCCTCTGTGAGCAGGAAGTTGAACAGCCCTGTACTAGAGTATCCTTCATATACAGACCTCTGAACTGTCACATGTTAAAATATGCCTTATGCCAGTGATTCCCAAACTGGGACATTTTTTACCGGAAAAAAAAACACTGCGACTAATAAAAGTGCGAGTGGAAGACCTCGGAAAATATGGAGTGATGGCATTAAGAACAGCCTTACAGACAGAACATCAGTCTTAATAGTGCTCTTGACAGAGCTCATCAACAAACATTACATCTCCCCCCAACACTTCGATGAGGTAAAAGGTGGAAGAGAAGAAGTAGAAGACTAAGAAAGGTTTGGGTGTTGTCCTTGCACGGCGACGGCCGCTTAGTCGGAGTTCAGTTACCTGGCTGCAGTGCAATTACTTTGAATTACGGAGTGGACAAGGCACGAATCACAACACAAAGTAAGTTCTTGTGACGCAAGACTTTGTGGCCACGGATGTGACTAACCCTCACCCAAACCCTAACCCTACCCCTAAATATGTCATTTGTGTCGTTCCCTCTTTTCCACTCCGTAATTGCACTGCAGTCAGGGGACTGAACTCGGACTAAGCGGCCGTCCGTCCCCGTCCAACTAGCGACCGTTATTGCAAGGAGAGCCAGTTTGGGAAACCCTGCTTTATGCAATAAATCTGTGCGTGTATGACTAGCTTATCATGACTGACTACTTTCTTTCATCCTTATTAACTGACTGGTTTTCTCATCTGAGCTGGTATCTGAAGTTTTGTCAACCCATGACTCAAAGAGACGCATTTTGGATGATGAACCATGATGATGATGAGTAGCGACTACAGTTTCGGAAATTTGCGATCTTTTTGGCAATTTCCGTTACCATGGAAACCGTTTAAAACTTGTTTCGGAAATGTCGGCTGGGGTTTCGGGATGGGTCCTAATCTCTCATGAAATTTTGCAATTGGTGTGATTTTCACCCGCTATAAATGGCTGAAAAAGACGGGAACGAACCCGATTAACAGCGCATGTCTACGACAGCCGGACGTCCTCTGTTTTTCTGTTACATCCGTTTGATTGAAAATAGAGGTAAGTATTCAAAGTTGGCTTTAGGCCTTAAACATTACCAGATATGGTAATGCTAGTTATAATTGAATTCTCCGTCCAATTTTACATTTGTATATAAAATTTCTTTCCTGTTTATGGCTGTTTAGATTTACAGTGAAATTTTTTCAGGCAAACGCTAATATGTGGCTGTATCTGAGAAAAATTGTCTGCCATCTCGTCCAATGAAAACAAAGCAAAAACGAAAGTTGCGCAGTTTGGTTGCGCAGAGAAAACCTTGTTTCTCAGACACAAGTTTTAGTCTGTTTTTTTACATCTCATCTCCACATCAAAAACCTACATATCTCAGCTCAGAAATGACATACAAGGCTAAATGAGGTACCATTGGAAAGAGATTGTTTACAGCTATCTAACTGTGCTGGTTTTATTGGTGTTAAGGGCATTTTAAAAATTTGAAAGTAACTATGAAGAGATGACTTACCACACCAGAATATTTTATCATCACAACCACCTCTAAAAAAAATAACTGACAGACTTTTATGACTTACCATTCCTGAGAAACTGGACAAAGAATGTTTTTACGTGTAACTTTTGGTGTTTTTTCTTTCAAAGACATAGTACTTAGATTGGCTTTCCTCCGAGAGGCAGGGATCGTGGGCGCCGCCATGTTGGCTTCCTGACAACGTTTATTACCAAATTCGCATTAAATATTTCACAATCATCAATAATATCCTATATCACTTCAGTTCCCTCCCCGTGTGGGTTCCGGGGCTCTATTATAGGGAAAACAAGAATAGACCCACAGCCTACCCAAAAGCATGTCGTAAGAATCGACTAACTGGGGGTTTCCTTCGAAGTCAGAGTGCATCTGCCTGAGAGGCAAGTAACTACCAGTCTGCATACAAATAGGTCAGATCTGTAAAACGGATGCACACGCAACACACGTTCTGGAATAAGACTGCAGTCCAGAAGTGGATAAATAACCAGAACTTTCCGCCAGAGTTTACAGCTGGTGAACACGAAGAAGACGAAGACTTCAGTACCCAAAGAAAGATTGCACAGTATCTTCATCTCCTTTGCGTTCACCAGCAGTAAACTCATGCGGAAGGTTTTTGTTGTTGTTCCAAGTCTTGTCTTTAGTCTTTTTCCGGAATCTGAATTTGGGTGCATATTCGTTTTACAGATTTCACTTGTGTGAATGCCGCTGGTTGCTTGCCTCTCATGCAGATGCACACAAACTTACAGACTTCGAAGGCCTCCCTAGTTCGTCGACTAAAACATTCTTGTTGGGGAGGCAGTGGGTCTCTTCTTGTTTCCCCACAATGGGACCCCGGGACCCACACACTGGGAGATTACACAATATGGTTGTTATAAAAAAAAGGAAAAAAAAATTGAAAATACACTCGAATATATGTCGATGTAGGTGATAAACAGCAGTGGTGATAAGACACACCCCTGTCTTACTCCAGATGTCACTGTGACAGGATGAGATGTTCCCTGATACTACTACTACTACTACTACTACTACTACTACTAGCGCCCGGCTCTCTAGCGGAATTGGCTAAACCGGATTTCGCGGAGACCGGGTGACGTACTCCTTGTGGTCCGGGTTCAATCCCGGGGGTAGGCAGGAAAGCCACATTTTCTCCCAGATTTACGGTATTTACAATGGAATCAAGGCCGAAAGGTTGCGATATCCATAATACCGAGCCTAAGGGTTAACAACTCATGGCTTCTGGATACTAAAACAAACAACTACTACTACTACTAAATCAACAACTACTACTACTAGTATTACTACTATTACTACTACTACATCATCAACAACAACAAATAGTACTACTACTACTACTACTACTACTACTACGACTACTACTACTACTTCTACAGAGTTAAATTTCGAAATTAACCATACACGAAGAAGAAGTTCGACGACGTCTGCTATCCCAGCAGGCAACAGTTGACGTGTAGCCGACCAGCCATTTCCCAACTGTCAACTCTTGGGGACGACTGCTCGCACAGACAATTTTTCACTTTCCTTGGCCAAAATGAGGGCTCTGGCGTTTGTAGTCACTGTCTGCCTGCTTCAGGGAGGACTCGCGTTTTATTTACCAGGATTGGCATCGGTTACTTACTGTTCAGACAACAAAAATAATGCAAATTGTAAGGTAAGTCGGGGTTGTGGGGAAGTTTTTCGGCTTGTCTGGACTAGAAATGTTTTTGTGATCAATAATTTAATTCAATAGTGTAGTTAGAGGATGAACATTCAACGTCAGCGTATTTGATCAGATAGGTTTACTATCTCCAGAATGTTGATATCATAGTAAAGCTTTCTTGATCTGGTTGTCTGAGTAATTTTATTTCTCAACTTTTGCATTTTGTCGCTTTGGAAATGCCAGAAGAAAGACGGGTGAAAAAGGGGGAGGGGAAGCGGAGAAAGCTAAGATACATCAAGTTTATCAAGACTGATCCCGGATTCACGTTTGCGAAGTGTTTGAGTGCTGAATTTAATTTTATTGTTTTAATTATAGAACAGCCGTAGTATTTGCTAGTGTTAGAAAGGTTGCAGTGAGACTGATGGGCGTGTCTTGCCCTACCCAGGATACTGGCTTGCCATTTCATGTTCAATATAATATACAGTCTTGCAAATACCTTCGGTGATTTCACAGCAGAAGCCCAATCAGGCACTGAAACTAATTTGAGGGGGGGGGGGGGGTTGGAGCTTCTCTGTATCACTTTCAGGGATGCAACCACGGCTTTCTGCCTAGGAAATCATTTACTGGTACTCAAAAGGTGCCGGTACTAACTACAAAGTATCTGTACTCTATTACAATAGTGCAGATACTGCATATTATTTTCTACCACCAGAAAAAGAAGAAAATAAGCCTTGGATACAGCACATATACTGTGGAGGAATTTAAAAAAAATATTTAGTCATACCTGACTAAACATTGATCAAACATGGAATATATAAATATAAAACAAGCTCTGAAACTAGCAAAAGACAGGAAACTACATCTAACTCCTCTCTGTGACACTTCCTGATATAAGCAGTAAGACAAAAGAAATAGATGAAGAATGATATTTCATTTTGTTTAATGATATCTGCTTCCTGTTCACTTTTTTTTTGTAACTGCTTGAAGGAGATATAAGATTCTGCTTGATCATAGACACATCGTTCTATTTTAGAGTTTCTATGATATCTTTGTATCTTGTTCCTGGTCTACCTCGTGATCTACATCCTTTTAGTTTGCATCACTAGGCTTTCTCTCTAATTGATACATTTTTTTTTTTGGTTTTGTTTTATATGTAGTTCTGTATTGTTCTATGCCAACATATTCTCTAATGACCTCACTCCTGATGTTATCTTCTCTGGTTATTCCTGCAGCCCTTCTCCTACATCCCTTCTACATCCCTTCTCATGCATCCCTTCTACTTCCCTTTTCCTGCATCTCTTCTCCTACATCCCTTCCCCTGCATCCCTTCCCCTGCATCCCTTCCCCTACATCCCTTCTCCTACATCCCTTCTACTTCCCTTCTCCTACATCCCTTCTACTTCCCTTTTCCTGCATCTCTTCTCCTACATCCCTTTTCCTGCATCTCTTCTCCTACATCCCTTCTACTTCCCTTCTCCTACATCCCTTCTCCTACATCCCTTCTCCTACATCCCTTCTCCTACATCCCTTCTCCTACATCCCTTCTACTTCCCTTTCCTGCATCTCTTCTCCTACATCCCTTCTACTTCCCTTTTCCTGCATCTCTTCTCCTACATCCCTTCTCATGCATCCCTTCTACTTCCCTTTTCCTGCATCTCTTCTCCTACATCCCTTCTCATGCATCCCTTCTACTTCCCTTTTCCTGCATCTCTTCTCCTACATCCCTTCTCCTGCATCTCTTCTCCTACATCCCTTCTCATGCATCCCTTCTACTTCCCTTTTCCTGCATCTCTTCTCCTACATCCCTTCTCATGCATCCCTTCTACTTCCCTTTTCCTGCATCTCTTCTCCTACATCCCTTCTCCTGCATCCCTTCTACTTCCCTTTTCCTGCATCTCTTCTCCTACATCCCTTCCCCTGCATCTCTTCTCCTACATCCCTTCCCCTGCAACCCTTCTTCTACATTCCTTCTCCTACATCTCATTTCCATTGTTACTAATTGTAATTTTTAATATGATATCATTGTTATATTTTAATTACCACTTTGTTTGTTTAAAAAATACAGTCAGATCTTATGGTGTACGTGAATCGCTTAAACACAGTGGAGAACATTGTCCCGTATGAGTATCATGAGTAAGTCTGCGTTATTTGTTTGCGCATAAGTTGCATTAACGTAACACTATACTTATCAAATCTGGGGTATGTTTTTGACCTTGTTATGCTAAAATGCTTGAAAAACAATGCCCCCACCACCTAGGACATACCAGGCTTCTGACCTCCCAACAACTAGGATATACCAAGCTTCTGACCTCCCAACACCTAGGACAGATTTCTTAGCTCTCATCAGTTAGGACATACACTCCCTACAGCTAGGGCATACAGATTCCTAAGATCTCAATAAGGAAGACATACTATTCCCTTAGACTCCCAACAACCAGACCCTAAGCTGCTAACAGTTAGGGCACACATACTACTTTGCTGCCTACAGCTAGGACAAACAGATTCCTTAGCACCCGTCAGCTAGGACGTACACTCCCAACAACTAGGACATACCAGAATCTTTAACTACCAGCAATTTATATAGACTCCTATACTTCCAGCAACTAAGACTTTAGACTTGTAAGCTCCCAACACCTGAGGGACATTCAGACTTCAACCAGTAGGATGACAGACATACACTGCAGGGATGAGCCACTGTGATACACCCAGGACAAGATAAGGCAGCCTACTGTTAACCTCAGCCATCTCATAGACCAGGGTTATTCATCTAAGTTTACTCAGGTCCAGCATGTCGAAAATGGGAGTCCGAGCTCCGGAATAGCAAGATGATTAATACAGTACAGTTGACAAGTGCTCCGAGTGCCACTTGCTAAGTCTCAGCGGGCCAGATTTAGCCTGCGGGCCACCAGTTGAATAGCCCACATAAAGTACCTTCATGTTCTCACTCAAACCACAAACCAGCTACATACACCTCAGCCGTTGTCCTGTGAAGAACCTGAATTGCTCTTTTCTAACCCCCTTTCCAGTTCGCTGATTTCCATTCAACACTGGAATGCTTCAGCGCAGGTGGAATTTTTCTGATGCATGTCTGCTTTGTCTAGTATATTCCAAATTTTTCTGTTCCATTGTTTCTGTTGATGTGCTCCAGAATTTCTGTCGTGATTTCTTAATGGTTTCCATGTGTAATTGTAACGGATTTGCAGGGCTTGCGTTGGAGAATAGAAACCTAGGTGTTCTGTGCTCAGAGCGGTTTGCATCGCTTGATAAGACTCAGATTAGGAGCATATCATGGATTGTCTGGCCAGGAGATTCAGGTGTGTGCGGTGATGATAGATGCAGGCTGCTGCTGCTGCTCCTCTGGGTAGTAAACTACTTATGAAAAGGGGAGATGTGGTGAGGGCTTTCAGGGGTCAAGTGGACTACCACAACACACAGTATCCATATTGGGAGAGGTTGATTTTGCGGGAGATGAGCAATTTGTACACATTGTAATGTGGTTTACAGCTAGACTGTGATATTTGTGCTTTTCAACCCAACACATCCAATTTAATCAAACCGCTTTTAGTTGCCTTTAACACCATGCTTGTGGGGGGGGGGGAGGGTTAATCCTTCCGTGATAAAATGCCTACTGCTACTAGACGCTTGCCTGACCACCCCAAAGGTCTTGGATATGTGTGTGCATTGAGTCCCAGGTCAACCCAGGCCAAAATGTGTGCCAAGCAATGTCCCTAGAAGTTCCAGCAGCTGGCGTGAACGCCTCATAACCCCCACCTGGTGCATTAGTCTAGTGTCATATACCTGGTGCGTCTTATACCTAGTGTGTCACTAGTGTCATATACCTGGTGTGTCTTATACCTAGTGTGTCACTAGTGTCATATACCTGGTGTGTCTTATACCTAGTGTGTCACTAGTGTCATATACCTGGTGTGTCTTATACCTAGTGTGTCACTAGTGTCATATACCTGGTGTGTCTTATACCTAGTGTGTCACTAGTGTCATATCCCTGGTGGTGTCTTATATACCTGTGTGTCACTAGTGTGTCTATGTTATACCTGGTGTGTCTTATACCTAGTGTGTCACTAGTGTCATATACCTGGT